TCCTGTCTCTGTCCAACTGATAAACCTGCTCTCTGTTATGATTTTGAGCTCTGTTCTGCATTTTCTCCCACTGTTTCCTGATTTTCTTCTCATTATATTGTTTTTCCCTCTTAATAATCCTGGGGAAGCTGGCTGGCAGAGGACTTCAAGTCTAGATCCACGCTGCCTCCTTTTGAATCCCAATTCCAACCTTCCCAGGTTGGGTCGGGTTACTTCATCTTCGATGCCTCCGCTGCCCCTCTGTCAAATGCAGACCCCTTACCTCACAGGCTGGATAGGAGGGGAAGTGAGAGTCATAAAGTATTGGTACAAATCATAGAAACCTTTATTAAACAAAGACATCAAAATGGAAAACTCTTGTTTCTCAACAGATCCTTTATTTACGTGTGTATACTTTGTGTTTTTCATTTTTCAACAAACATCTTGAGGGTCCCCCTCATACTTTTATTAAAGAAATTTATGGATATAATAATTGATCAAATAATTCAGCTTATGATGAAAAACAATAGTCTCCCATAATACCCTACTTCAACCCCAGTTCTATTCTCTCTCTGAGCCTGTTCTTCAGGTTCAGAGCTCTTATTGGCTACCACTGCTGTCTCATATATTACACGTCTTTACATGTCTGTTCCCTGATTCATCCATTTCATTCCCATTTATGAAAGTTGAAGATTTGTCTCATTCTATGTTTCTTTGGATGATTATGTATTATTATTTAGTTCTCTTATTATTTATTTAACTTTTTAAAAATCATTTTATTGGGGGCTCTTACAGCTCTTATCATAATCCATCCATATATCCATTGTGTCAAGCACTTTTATACATATGTTGCCATCATCATTTTAAAAATATTTTTCCCTCCCTCCCTCATGAACCCTTAATAAATTATAAATTATTTTCATATCTTATATCACCCGCTATCTCCCTTCTAGGTGTTTGTACTTATGAAGTATTTCCATCTCTCAGTCCCTGTATAACAGTGGTTCTCAACCTGTGGGTCTCACCCCCTTTGGGGATCAAAAGACTTTCACAGGGATCGCCTAAGACCATCGGAAAACACATATTTCCCATGGTCTTGGGAACCGAGGCACTGCTCCTCTATCCGTCTCCACGCAGGTCTACCCACATGCAGAAATGCCCACATAGGAGTACCTGCCATGAAGACATGCTACACCATGCTTCAAGACAACATTTCATTTATTTGTCATTAGAAATAAATATTTCACAAGATATAATTACATATTGTTTTGTGATTAATCACTATGCTTTAATTATATTCCATTTGTAACAATGAGAATCCATTGCAAATCAGATATTTACATTACGATTCATAACAGTAGCGAAATTACAGTGATGAAGTAGCAACAAACATAATTTTATGGTTGTGCGAGGGTCACCACCACGTGAGGAGCTGTATCAAAGGGTCGTGGCATTAGGAAGATTGAGAACCACTGCTGTATAAAGAATTCTGCCTGTTTAAAGATAAGCCCTCATCTAAGAAAAATTAAGTCCTTATAATGGACTCTGACTTGATTCTTGCCCTCCTGAGGAGATCATTGAAAATAGGGATGCTACAGCAAAATTTGGTAAACAAATCAGATGGTGCCCTGACTTTCAGAAAAAGAAATGTCAAGGATCTTAAAGGCCTGTCTTATTTCATGAAACATTGTATTGAGGCCCTTGCAGCGCCTGTAACGATCCGCACATCAGTTGTATCGAGCACATT